GCGCTGCGGGGGATGCCCGGGGATGGCCGGGGGCCGGGGGGTGGTCCGCCGGCAGTAACCTTTCTGGTGCCTCCTCTGCACAGGCATATTGCACTACTTAGGTGGAATATAAGGACTTACAGGCTTGAAATAAAGCGGTGGGACAGAGATGGAAAGGGAGGGAAAGGGCAGGTTACCCCCAGCGCACGGGACAGGGCGGCGTGGCACTGCGTCCCGGAGGCAGCCCGGGCCCCGGAGCAAGAGGGATTCCCCGGCATCCAGCTCTCTCCCTGCTCCCGCTACACCCAGGGCTAGCAAAACTGACCCGCAGGCACTGCGACGCTTCCTTAAAACATGCAAACAAATTAGCTTAATTACAAAAGGAAGAGTGAGGCACAAGCCCTGGCTCGCTCGTTTCCCAGCAAGTCACCCCAAAGCAAAAGGATGGAGGGTGATCTTAGCCCCTTCCTTTCCCGGGATATGATCAAACACCACCAAAGTCCTGAGCCAGGAGCAAACCCGGGAAGGGCAGCACAACCACAGTTAGCAATTTAGACTCTGCTAAGCCTCTACCCGCTGTGATTATCCTTTTAAACTAATAGCCCCCGTGTCGTTTATCAATGTCTGTATCTGTTGCCAGATCTCCCTGTGGTCCCTCTTGGTGACTCTGGTGATCCTGTTCATCCTGACTGGGACCATGCTGGGCCCAGATCTGATGGCACATATTCCTGCGTCCGTCTACGCCATTGCGGTGCTGATGCCTCTGGCGGGGTATGCCGTGGGCTACGGCTTAGCCACAGTCTTTAAAATGCCCCCACACTGCAGGAGAACGGTGTCTTTGGAAACAGGGTGCCAAAACGTCCAGCTCTGCACCGCCATCCTAAAACTCACCTTCCCCCCGGAGCTCATAGGGAGCATGTACATGTTTCCCTTGCTTTACGCGCTTTTTCAGTCGGCAGAAGCGGGACTCTTTGTGCTAGTATACAAGATGTACGGGAGAGACAGCTACAAACAAGACCCGCTCGGTGAAGAGGAAGACACAGATATTTCCTACAAGAAACTGAAGGAAGAGGAGGTGCCCGACACTTCATACGGCACAGTGACCACAGAGGAGCACAACGCCGTTCAGATGGAGCCGACGCAGACGGCGCTTTAGGCGAGCTAAGGAGGCAACACCCGGGGCCGTGCGATGCATGTCGTGCTTGCAACCGGGCTGGGGCCGCGCTTGCCGCCGCGCAAGCGGAGCTCCCCTGTTATTCCCCCAGCCGCTCCCATTGTACAAGGTGATGTGTGTTTATTACCGTGACAGGTGTATTTCCTCAAAAATACTTACGAAATGTAAAAACAAAGGAAAAAGTATCACTGCGACGCAAATAACCGTACGTCTTCGGGCAAGGAGGCTCCTGCCCACCTGAGTGCCGCAGGAATGGCTCCAAGGAAGGAGACCAGCGTTCCGCGGAGGCGAAGCCAACGCGGCGCTGCGCCAGGGCGGACGAAGGGGCAAACCACCCTGCGCGCGTG